CGGGAAGAGCGCAAACAGATATATATATATATATATATATATATATATATATACATAGAATGATTGAAACTGCAGATGTGGCCAATATCCTCGTGCAATAAAGTTACTATTTCCACGTGGCTCCACATGATGATAGAACGTTTGTATGCTAACTTTTTAGCTCTGTAAGCAGGTCAGGAGCCACGCGGTCAATGGTCAATAAATTCCGTCCAGTTACAGTGTTCCGAAAAAACACAAAGTCTCATTTTCGATCAAAAAACACAGTTCAAAAGTTTCCAACAGTTGTCAACTTGAAAATCAATGAAACAGGACATAATACTACAGCCCACAAACACTGAAACGAAGCAAAGATATTCGGAGTGGAGGTCGCTTCAACCGGAAGCTTAGTAAATAGCCTGATCAACAACCACAGTCCGAGTAAAAACCCAAAATGACCAACCAAGTACCTGGATCCGACCGACGATGAACAGGACGCCGAACATCCCATCTACCAAACTATGTTAATTCTTAAAAAATAACCTATGACCTCCAAGGCTGGTGTTGAGGCGTGTATATTGAATGTGCCAAGCCCGATGGACAAATCCACAGCCCGTCCTATTGTGGTCTTCATTTGTACGTGTTGGTAAAAACTAAGTCAACGAGAAAGCACTACTTTGTAGATGAAATCACATGGAAGTGGATAGCTACATAGAGTAACCCTTTTCCTTATCATGATTACAAACGTATACATATCACCGTGATAGTCTATTTAAGAGGCCCCACCGACGTTGGTTTAAAGGCTTACGAGATTGGGTTGAAAGACGTGACTTGCTGAAGTTTGCATGCATACACCATCATCAGATGCGAACATCAAGTTGACTTGCCTGCTTTAACCCGTGACCGGAAGTTTGGCATTCGGTTTAAACACACACACAGAGCGTTTGGAATTTGGTGTGTTTGAATGTGCTTACACGTCAGCCACCAACCAGTTGCGTATTCGTGGAAGTGATGTTGGGGTATGGGACCAGCAGGTAGTGAAGGCGCAAGTGAGAGCACGTGCGTCTACACCCTGCCTCTCTGTGTTATTCAGTTCCATTCAAGGGGCTGAAATTTCGGGGGTTGAGTCCCGAAACACAGATCGGCAACTGGGGACAAAATCGAAGACAACAACAAAACATTTCTCGGTTATTCCAGGACCCAGTTGGAAAACAAATTAAAATGAAATTGCCAAGGGAAATTAAACTAACACGAATTTGATCGGTGGCTGACGACAGCTCTCGTAAATGTGTAGCGAGAGCAGCTCACTGGGATATCGTGTACAGGACGGCCTTGAGGGTGAGATTGTACAAGCCAAATGGATGGGAAACTCTAAGTAACCACTGTTGAGTGCTAATTCGGGACAGCTTCCAGAAGATTTTGAAGATCACAGACTTCCTGCTATTACTTCGGTTTCCAGTGGACAAAAACGAAAAAAAGTGAAACGAAAACTTATGCTGGGCTGTCCAAGTAGCGCAGGTTTGGAAGTTATATGCATTTGTACCTACTTTTGCCTTTGCTTTCTGTTTACTTGGCTGCTTGGCTCCGAGTCGAAGAAAGGTTTGTTATTGACTGACAGGGCTGCCGAAGTGGTTTCCGGGTGATTTAGTTGAACAGTGCACATGTCTTGGCATTGTCTTTTGCCTTTCCGCGTTAAAAAAGGAAACCCTGAACCAGGGTTTTCCCCAAGTGGAATGAAAGTTTCATGCAGGTTACGAGCATCTGCGGAGCTGGAAGGACTTGATAACTCTCGACATATTTGGAACCGCCGATGGGAAACCAATCCGTCGAGCTTGCCATACGCACCACTAGGAGCCACCTGCATATGCTGGTGGAACATTTTAAAACCCTTGCCTCCCGTATTCCTTATAAATGGATTTCGAGTTCCGTCCTTTCCGCTTCTGTGGTGCCCAAAAATAACTGCGAGGTAAAAACTAAAGCCTTATCTGTCGAACATCAGGAAAAAAGACCTACTCGCGTGCTTAGACAAAGATTTGAGTTGGAGCCAGAACCCACTTTCAAGTAAACCAAATCTAATTAAGACGCCAATGAAATATTTGTTACTCTGTGCTTGACCCCATCATTTGACATGGGTGTTTCCCATCTCCGCTTACGAGGTAGACCTGTTTACCCGCACTGCGTGTACCGGGATTGTTCTCATTAAATCCTACTTTACAAATACCCGACAAAATGATATAATTCCATCGAACAATGTGGCATTCTGTTGAATAAAAGTTCTGAAATATAATTTACCAGTTGCTCCGGCGAGAAGCACCGAAATCACGTTAATGGCGATCACGGTACCGTAGAAGCCAGGGAGAAGTCGCAGAGCTGGTTCAAGAGGCTCGTCCTGAAAGTGTGTGGAAGAAAAGTACACAAGGATTCAGTCGTTTTTACCATCAAAGAAGGTTGTTTTTGTAGAAGCTAATCAATATCAGATAAGGCTCTGTAAATTTCAGAATTAGCCCCGCCTAATTCCATAAATGCGATTCCCCTGAATAAGTAAGTTTACGAAAGAATCCAGCACCGACAGCTGTAGTCTTTAGTTTTGCTGGGACTACAAGATTCTGTTGTCTTCACCGAAGAAGGTGAGCACCAGGTTCAAGTTTCGATCCTACTAGAGCCGATCAACTGTGCATAATTGTGTTTGCGTCGGGATTTGATTCCTAGACGTCCGATAAATGAGGTAAGTGCGTTACCGCAACTGAACCGGCACACGATGTTGACATCTAAATTTTCACTTTTAAAAGATGTGCTTGATAGATGCGTTGTGCTGTGTCCTACGGCACTGTCAGAATCCCCAGTGCTTAATGGCAAATGGTGCGTCCTGCTACTTGTGCGGCGTTTTTGAATCTCCCTAGAGATTTGTCAGAATCCCCAGTGCTTAATGGCACATGGTGCGTCCTGCTGCCTGTGCGGCGTTTTTGAATCTCCCTAGAGATTCAACGGGGTGACAGCCGGCAAGGCATGAATCAATCTTGGTTGAAGCCTTCAAGACCTTTCACTGCCTACAACTTGATTGAACAAGTTCAGATCAGCAAACAAATGGAAACTATATCCATTCTGTCTTCGGTTTGTATGGCTTCTTGAAAACCTGTCCAGTGATGATAGAACATTCGGATTTCTCGACATTCTACATGTGCATGTAGCACTGAACCTTGTAATTCTAGGTTTTTTCACAATTTGAATGGTTTCTAAACGGAATTGTTTATCATTTTCAACAGAGAACCTTGCAGAATGCCCCCATGTCGCCATGCTCTGAAAAGGCATCACAACTGAACGACTAGTTTTACCCTTTTCTTGTTACTGTACAATGGATACTTTAATCTTTCGTTGATAAAAGCTCAGGGACATAGGGTGAACAGTTCGCCTTCTTATGGTAACTTGTCCGGTTAAAACATTTGGTTAACAGTGAAATAATTCCCACTCTTCCATAAATGCAAATAAATCTATGCTGTCACTAGTTTATCTCTACTTCTAAACAGCTGATTTCTTATTCACACAATCATCTGACTGATGACAAACACTAAAAAAAGGCCTTTTTTTCTTACTAGCCATTGATCCTGAATTGACCAAACTTGGGGATCGAGCTAGTACCGAGTAGCTGGAAAAAGGATGTGGCAAGATGTGAAACATTTTATCTCAGCCAAGACTTCGGTCCTGTGTGCAACTCACCACGTGAGTGTGGAGCATTCGAACTTCCGAAATACTGATCACCCCAACGGCATTCCCTGAAACACAGATCTCTTGACTAATTAGCGCGGCTGGTGAACTTGACTTTACGCTTGATTCGGCGACCAAAACCCTTGCTGAACATTTAGCGTAGCCACCTTTCCACTTCATAAAAAATATCCTCATGTTGGGATGTTTGGTAAAACCCTGTCAGTGAAGTTTGTAAGACACTTTTGGTACCCGATTCCATCAAGACGTCTTCTACGACTTTAAAAGTGTACGGGTCATACAAATAGGTTCCAAATCGCGAGCGGTATAACAGAATTTTTTTACGCTAAATTTACTAGACGGCGTAGTTATTGTGTCAGTGAATTTGTGGAATGCGACTGTGTTCGTGGATGAGCCTGACGGATCGATGGATCGGCACAATCTCTTCAAGCTCGCCTCAGTGATCTCTGACCATATTGTCGAGGCCAGCTTTCAGAAATGTTGCTGACCAACAGGAATGCTGGTGATTCGGAATGCGATCAGGCAGATCATTCGAGAAAGATAGCTGCAAAGTGATGGTTGCGGCGAAAGAACAATCAAATATTTCCGACTGAGCCCGACGTGTCGTTGTTGTTTTTGCTATTGGTGTTCGTTGGATGTAATCTTGTGCATGGATGTAGGAAATGCGAGTAGACCAGATGCTCCAATCGTTAAAACATCGTCTACAGCCGGTAAGTATCCAAAAAACTATATGTAACCTCAATAAACACCGCACCGACCAGAATTTTAAGGTACATGACAACTCTAGAAGTGTTCTTCCAACAACGCATGCTTTTTAATTTCTATCTGTTACTTCATCAAACAAGGCTGAGAATGCTTCTAGCAGTTCCACACGCATGGGCACTGTAGTGGTTCATTGTAACCCTGTTGTCTTCCTTCTTGTTCTTGCTAACCGTGTTCACATCTGAAAATATGAGTTGAGTGCGATTTCGGGCTTGATTTTATGGGGCAGAAAGTTGTGTGGTCGGTATTCTTTCATCTATCCAAACACCAGACAAGAAGCATCGTTGAGCGAACTTTTCGATGAGACCTTACGTGTTTCAAACAAATGCAGCCCCATGTTGTTGTTATTATTGTGCATACTCACATCCCATACACACGTGAACAGTTGGAACAGAGAGCACCAAGGTTTCTGTATAAATTACAGAGTGGATAACTTGTGACTCTCCTGCCTGGGTCGCCTAACTCCAGCGGTATCGATCAAGCTGTGTGGTTACGACGTGCCACAAGTCACCACAATGACCTCAGCTTGTTGTTCACCAGCCTGTTGTATAATGTATGCTCCAGGTAACGTAGTCCCACTGCTCAGCCACCAGATCTTGTGAGTACATAAACTCTCATCCAACCAGTTACATCACTGAGGTCTCAATTCACTTACTGATACATTCAACTGGTTTTCAGTTCAAACCAGCAAAACTCGCCTATGAATGTGATTCATAGTTTTCAGTGCTTCGCCCAACAGAATTGAACTAGACGCTAGCAATCAGAAAAGTGATCTTTTCGCTGAATTATTTTTTGGATTCAGCTGGAAAAAACTAGTAACTGCTGGTGAGTAGCCGCACTGTTTTTTCCAGTGGATAGTCACTGGTACTTGCGGGTGAGCCGATGATGGTCACACCAGGGGCTTAAGATTTGGCCAGCAATTTTTTCATAGAAAAACGTAGTCGCAGCCAGGCAAGATTAGGTACTCGGGCGGTCAACAGCCAACTAACGGCTACCTGCCTCTTTGTTTAAATAACTCACTGTGCGTTGTCTGACCGCACAAAATTGCATTGTTCTCTTTGAAGCGTATGTTTTTAGATCCACTGACTGCGTTTGTGTGAAATCGGTCGTCCCTGTTCACATTTAAACCCCGAAAAGGCAAAGAATAACAAAATTTCTACTTTGGGTATAAAAACGCTGAAATTTTACGGTTGAAAATGTTACTTGGGGATGGTTCGGTGGAGCATGAGCATAAATGGAGACAGACGGTCGCTTCGAAATGACAGTAATGTTGAGAGACTGAATAGAATTCGTCGTGAATGACATTTTCAGCTAAGTGTGCTGCGCAAAGGCTACCTCGTGTTTCACTTGGCAGGACATTCAAGATAATGGAATATATCTTCTTGACATAATGATAGGGGGCTCACCAGTGGGATGCATCCCCCGAGCCACTTGCACAAAATGCAATGTTCAGTTAGAACAAAAGCACGATAGAGAATCGGGGACTTTGTCCACCTGATGAACACTAGGGAGGTGGGTTGTAAGGGACTTTTCAGCTAATAATGTGCCGTACAAGGAGAAGTTAGATACGGTTCTGGGAAACCCAGAAAATATGGCGACACATATAAGAGAAAGCCAGGGCCTCGAGTTCAACTCTTTGAGGCCCGAAGCAAATCATTAGCTAAATCAATGCAAATGGCGATTTGTACTCTAAAGCCTTATGGTGCCACGTTGTACTGAAGAACATTACGAAAATTTGTATATCAGGTGTCTGAAGTGCAGTATGCACTACTTCTGGCCAAGTAGTTGTACAACAACGTGGTAAAGGTTTGCATCCACTGTATGCACTGCTGGATCAAGCGATTTTTTAGAAGCATACCCTCTATGTCTTCTCCTATTCGTACCCAATAACTCCGGTTGTTGCTTTGTTGCTTTGAGCAGGAAACGACAGCTTCCCGTGGGCTCTATGTGTCCACGGTTCAACAAATAATCTGTCGCAGACAGTATCTCACGTTTAGATACTGCCAGCTATATCAAAGCCAGATCGCTGTTGTCTCTGCCCCAGCTAACCAACCCATCATGCGATAAAGAAGACGCCAACATATACAGTTTTGTACGGCACGCTTAATGAGAGCGTTTCTATAACTTACGCTATATTTCATTCGTAAGTGCATAGTTCATTCATTCACTACAAAATAGTGTCCCACTTGCGTCATGCTTAGTGATTATCACTTTCTGTTATTCATATCTGAGTTGCACAATTCCCGTTCCATCTAGAACAACAGTAGCTGACACGTGAAACGACAAGGCGGATATCCAGTTGCGGGTATGGACTACATAGTTTGGAAGTTTTTGCACCTTCGTTGTGTTGCAGGAAAACTAACGATCGTGCATTTTTGTCACCAGTTTTCGTATTGGTAGTCAGGATGACCAGCTTGGTTGTTTTTCCACCTCACCAAGCTTAAAAACACAAATTTAGCACATTTGGTGAGGAAAATACCACGTTGTGCTTGTTCGGAAGGATGCAAAACGTTGGAGATACTTATAACTACTCAGTGACAACACATTCAAAAATCAGTCAGTCGCTTTCAATAGACGAGGGATTCAGTTGGGTTCCAGGCGAGTCTCCCGTAAAAGCCCAAATGGTATACAAGTGAGTGTATAAGTTTCAGCATAGAGTTCCTTACCAGAAGCTAAATTGTTATAAGGAGACGACTCAAATCTAGATAGACATATTTAAGTTTTCTTTCTCGGGCTCAATTAGACCCAGAACATCGTGAAAGGTTCAACTACTTCAGACTTAAACCTGAATAACTGATCCGTATTTAAGCTGAGATTTAGGAAATACATCTACTTAGATATGTCGACTAATGCATCGTTCGGAGAATAACATCAAGCCTACTGCTAATTTCATAGTTTCGATTTATTGATTTCTCCCTCGGATATGTTGTCGCACTGTTTGATCACGACATTCTTGCTCAGAATCAGCCGAGTGGCTCAGTTGTGATGAGGTACTGAGCATACATAAGTTTTGATAGTATCAAATGTAGTCGCAAACTACGATCTTGATTTTTTAACGTCAGTGGCAAAACCACAATGGCTGAGCAACGGATGACATCGCAAAGACGGTGTCAGTTTAGCGAAATACACTCATTTGGAAACTGATTTAGATTTTCGAGAAATTCACCTGGAACCCAGCTGAATCTCTCGTTTGTGATGTTTCCAGACAACTGAATGTGTCAGGCGACAGTAGTGGTTGACGGAAAAGGAAGTTAGTCTCCAACTGCTAGCCGAGAGATCCAGGATCCCAATCCCACCGCAGTTACGTGGGATCCGGTGTGTTGATGATCCTCCATAAGAGGGAAACAGTCATCAAGTGCATTTGGGCAGAGATCACTCTCACTTAAGGGACAAAATCTCTATTTAAGTTGTTGGCATTGCCACACTAAGCATAATAAGCTGATCGGAGACAACCCTTGCAAAATTCGCTGAAGGTGGCAGTGCTCCAGCAGCTGTTTGAAGCAGTAGTTCCAAAGACGTCCAAGAGGGGGACGAAACATGCTGTCACATCATAGAAACTTTGGGAAGTGTAGGCTCAGCGGAAGTACGGTGAATCTGCATCACAACTCGACAAATCGAGAATTTCCTCGTATGAATTTGAAATCTGCCTCAAGCTTCGAACCGTGCACATCAAGTGCGATTTTCTAGTGGTTGGTGCGCGAAAACGGCTTACCGATCACGTTGCGATAGAATGACACTCGTCCGCTATACCATGTACCATATCCAAGCAACTTTCAGCCAATTACCCCATACAGTATCCAAGAATAAAGACATTTCGTGGAAGAATCAGTACCATGAGAAACATTCAGGGTGTATAAAAGACACATGACCTGTTGACCTGGGAAACACACGGTTTTTGTGTTTAGGCTTTGTTTGGACGAATTTCAGGAGCCTGCTGGAGTAGTTATCAGCCTACCTATAAATTAGTGAACTACTGACCTTTCAACAACATCAACCCGTAATCACGTTTAGAAAGAAGCTGAATTGTACTCAAACTTGAAAAATAAAAATATTTCCGAAGTCCATGTGCTTTTTGGTGCTGCCTGGAGTTTTCGTTTCAGTTTGCCTTCTCTGGAAGCGTAACGTACAATAAGCGGCCAAATATAGCAATGTGTTGCCAACTCCAGTCTATATTCGATCACTTCTGATTATGACTCATAAGCATACTAATATAAGCAAAACATTCTGGCCAATTGGAGTTAGGTGTTTCGTTAACTCTAATGTAATTTACAAAAGAGGGTTCACTCAGCAAGTGTGTGTTCTTGTCTTGCCGATCACTTCTGAATATGACTCATAAGCATACTAATATGAGTAAAACATTCTGGCCAATTGGAGTTAGGTGATTCGTCAACTCTAATGTGATTTACAAAAGTGAGTTCACTCAGCAAGTGTGTGTTCTTGTCTTAGTTTATGTTAGGATATTTCAAGAATCTCCGTCAGTATTCAGTGAGCCCACATGAAATTCTTTAGTTTGAAATTGAAAAAAATATGAACGATCAAGAGTACTGATTACGGGTGGTACACTGGGTTATGCTAATTATTTCCTTCACAACGTGAGGTGTGGTTTGGAACGAATTGTCAAACGAGAGGTTGCCCTCTTTCAGATGCACATTACCTGGTTAATTCGACATTTTTGTTCTCACAAGTGATGAAACCCCAATAAGAATTTCTTTCGAGTGTCTGGGTGGTGAAATTCTCGGCATTAATAACGTTAGCAGTCCGAAACTGTTAACTGACCGAACCCTCTAAGTCTGAGTAATGAATCCAGGTATGGGTGATGGGCCCCCTATGGTTGGGCTTCTGGGGATATATCACGTGCTACTTAGTGGCATCGCCTTAAATTCCAAACCTGACAGTTATCAGGTCCAGTCTTGTAATTCAAGTTTAATTTTACTCTGGGTATTTGCAGCTGGCTTGTCGGACTGGTCGGTGGATATCGACACAAGGTAGAAGCCTTTCGAAGGAGGATCTGGTGTTTCCAACAAGAACACTTTCTTGCAATAGAGGTTTCTGAAATAGACAGCATGAATTCCAGAAATGGTCACAGTGAAACATAACGTATTACTCCAAAGACTAACCTTTATCAGCACGAGGTAATGGAGAATGGAAAATATGCCTACAGATACGAGACCACTGAGCGCCGGGGATATGAACCACGATGCAACTGGATGGAGAGAAAATTGAAAAGAAGGCTGATAGTTGGTAATGACCTCCGTGTTGCTATCAGCACTGGCAATTAGAGTGAACATTTCCGATGCTTTCATGACTGTACCTATCGTAAAAGCGTTGACAGTGCTATTGAAGCTGGCAAGCGTTTTAGAAGTTAGCTGAAGTACTAGGTATCATTTTGCTTTGATAAGAAGGAGCACGGATGGTCGAAACAGCCATAGCGGACAGAAAGAAGATTGCTTGTGTTCACAGGCAAGACTTCTGTTTTGAATATTTCTTCATTATGTCGAAGAGTATTTATCTGTTCAAACCTCTTGTGTCACAAGTTTTGTCCGCATTTATCAGTGGAAATCGCGAGCCATGAGCACACTGATAGATAAAACGGCTTGCAAAGTTTACAGTATGCTGAGAAATCTTCTAATCTCCTGACTTCACAGGTAGTTTGAACGATTTTGGAAAGAGGCGTTGATGTAATAATTTACTAAATTGAAACAGACGCAAGTTTTTTGCTCAATACGCTGAGATTTATTAGGATTTAGACGATTCAAACAAAAGTGTCCAGCTGGTGAAACTGAAGTACACTTGGACATGAAACTACAGCTTGTTACATTGTATAATCTGAACCACGTGCCACGGTTAAGTTGTCATACAATTCCGGAAATCTCTGACGTGCTCTGTAGAGCACAACTACTGTGGACGGCTTCCAAAACAGAGCACACATTCAAACCAATCAGAGGTGAACGGTGATGCCAAACGTTATTGATCGGTTTTCTTGGAATGCAGAAAATTTCGTATTCCACATATCTGTTGTACAAAGATGCATAGATAGGTAGAAAGTGTTTAGAAGAAATTATCGTGAACTGAGTTAGCCTAGGTTACCCAAACGATGGAGCCCAAAACCTAATCTAGAAGGGTCGATGATAGGATAAACCCCGAGATATCGCCTTAAAAGTGTGGACAATATAGGGGAATAACTCTGTAAGAACAAATAAAGCTAGCTGCATACTGCTATTGAAAAATGGAATCTATTTTTGTGTCAGGGTCAAAATTTGACAGAACTTTGGACCGTAGAGGGACTTGCTTTGCAAATGGCCACATTGAGAGAGGGTTTCCCGCAATACCTACTGCATATTCGGTTGATAGAATAAGTACAACCTGAATCATCATCATCATCATTGTCAGCTGTAATAACCGTGTACTCGTCGTACAGTGGTTGTAGCTGCCGCAGTTTCGGGGGGGGGAGGTAGCTGCGCATTGAAGGCGGGAGATGAATAGGCTTAGAGTAATGAAATTTCCGAGTTTGAGTAATTCAGTGATTGAAAGCTCTCCTCAAAATGAGTGACGATTTAGGCGAATGTAATCTGGTAGGAAGCAGACAGCCCTAGTACTCGTTCGATGAGGTCCTGGTGTATGGTGAATACTGCTGATGAGGCATGCGAGTAGTATGTGGTTTTCTCGTGAATCTGCTTCGCATCTGTTGAAAAGTGGGATTTGTTACGGAATGTGTGGAATTGCTTCGTAGCATTCGTTTATATTTGGGTGATAGTCAACGAGTATCTAGGAAAGTTCAGGAAGCCGGATTCGAGAAGAAGACGGATACTCAGTTGTTATAAACAAGATGCACATGAGAGTTTTGCCTCCTTGTCCAATAGTCTGTAACTATTAATTTGGTATTTTCCAGTAAATAACCTCGCAGCTAGGGCCTTCTTCCCATGACTGGTATCTAGACATATAGAATCGCTGAGGGGAATTCCGCTGACAGCCTCTGTCTTGGTCATTGAGATACTCGTCTTTTTTCAGTGCTGTTTCAAACTTGCCTTGTGTGGAATAACGTATGCCATGCTGCATCGTTCAGAATCCCATTTTGTTGCATTTTATTCAGTGTGTATCCATGTGAATGTCCGGAGATGACAGCACCAACACAACAAAGATTCTGGTACTTACAGGAATGCTTGAGGTGACTGCGAACTGTTTTGTATACGCCAAGTTAACACCAGCCACATGCATGTCATCCCCAATTAAATAGACAACTTTGGACCACAACTTCGGCTGACATATGTCTTATGAGATTCGTAACAAAGAATGCGATATCTACAACCTACCAATCTTTGCTAAACCGATCCAGTTGATGGCTTTCACTCCAAATCGAACAAGACTGAATCCGACAGTGGCTCCCACAATGCTGTGAGTGCCGGACACCGGAAGTCGGAAGAACGTGGCGATCAACAGCCAAATGCAGGAACCTGAAAGTAACAAAAGAAAAAATGCAAACTCACAGGTTCAGCAAACATAAAAGTCACACGAAAGATTCCTGACCTTTGCCTCTGTATGATTCCCCTCTAACGTATCGTCAACTGATCCGTGTTGACCACCGTTCCACTGGAGACTCTAGTAATACTGGACAATGTGATTTTTGGGTGTTTCCGGAATATTGAAGTTTTATCTTCGTGCACTCCTCAGGCAAAGTGTATGGCGGTGTTTATGATAAAACTCCCAGTTAAGCGGATCAGTTGGAAGCTGTCAGTGTGCTCATTTGAGACGCAAATAGTTCTCCTGTAGTTCAAAGAATACCTGTATGGAACTGGCAATACGCTATTGGTGAGTGTTACTCAGCTATGTAAGTAGTATTGCGCATACGACAAAAGTTAACCCCAAAAGACTTGACCTTCCACTTTGCTTCAGTTTACTCTTTTTTATTCTTAGACAATGGCTGTGTTCAGTTAGTAATCCTACAAAGGGAGTTGCCGACATACGAGTGTGCATCCATCCAAACGCAACCTCCTCACCTAAGCAGTGACTACGCACCCAAAATATGGAAGTCCACATCTGGTATGTGAAGTCTTGGAGCATGAAAAAAGTACAAACCTCAAATCTTTTTGATGTCAACGTAATAATCTTTCTCTTAGCCCGGAGTAAATGCTGTTGTCTGAACAATCACGGCTGAACGACGAGTACGCAAGAGCTATCTAAATGGCGACCCAATGATAGACTGATGCTCAGTCCAGTGAATCAACACTTTCTACTTGCTGGAATTATTCGATGCTGTTCGAGAAAAGCGTGTGCAACTTTTGACGCTATGGGCTTGAGATGGTAATATGTCGCATGTTTTTGGCCCTCTACTAACGAAAGCGAACCATTGGCGTCACAAATAAGTGGCTAAGTGTGCAACTTCGCCGGAAACTGTTGGATCCGGTGGTATTCATGCAACAACAGCGCGAAATTTATCTGCGCCTTTTATTCACCACCTAAGAAGTTTAGCCTGTATAAAAATCCATCTGCCTATCATTGAGCCTTACCTCGTGTGAAAAATGCTCCATATTTGAGACCGCGAAGTCATATTTCCGGCAGCTACCCACGTCTGGTTCAGAACCACGACCTCTAACTCTAAATTTCAATGCGTATTACAGTATAGTTTCATTAATCAATCCAGAGACCTATCAAAAAAGGTAGTTTGACTGAGCACGATTATATCGAAGCCTCAAGCGGGTGGAAAGGGCTGCAGGCCTTTGAAGAGTTTTCAGCCATCTTGTGATTAGTTTCTTTCGTGGATGGAATTTAAATGTGCTAGGTGAATTTCAGTACTACTGAATTACTTAGCAACTCATAGACAATGTCGAGAACAAAAAGCAGTCTTACATAACCGTTTGGTTAGCTTTACGGTTGTATTTATCCTTCAATTGAAAATACATGTCAAAGCAATGTCTGTTGGAATCCGCAGAGCAAAAACCACACTATGACTAGTGAAGGCTCTGCACGTGATGTGACAAATGTTGATGGACACAATGAGTTTAGTTTGTGCTTTACAATCAAGTGAAAGCACACTGGACGTTTCTAAAAAGTTGGATATAAGGTTCCGTAGGACTGTGGGCGTGAATCTCAATCAAAGCGAAGTATACCTTGCTTGAACAATACTAATTAGAAAATTGCGGATGCATAGTAGCTGGTAAGCATAGAACAACCGAACTGCAGAAAATGGGTATCATGCTGTATCTGGAGGTATGCGGACTTAGCGATACTACTGGATGACGGAAACTTGGATCGGAGCCAACTCACACTATATCCAGGGTAGCCAGAAAAATATATCAGACTTATTTTTTGACAAAGCGGAATTCTGTATTGGATTGAGTACAATGGCCTTTGGAAGATGAGTTACGACTACTCATTCAGGCGTTGAAACTCGAGGTCTGATTGACCTTGTGAACTGTAGTCAGTGAAATTCAACCCGTTGAGGGTTGTGGCTTACCACCTAATTCGGTTGCTATTTGGTCCCAGATCCTAAGCGGCACCCGCCCCTCTGTTGCAATACTGAAATACTGAGCATGTTCACCTGCTTTATTTATATATTCACAGAGGGAGAGTCTTCTAAAAAAGACGAAAACTCCTGATTTATGATAATGAAATCACCGAAATCCGGTTTGCTCAAAGTGTGTGCATGACAACTTTAGCCAGTATAAGGGAATATAAATTAAGCTGGTGCCAGAACCCAAGAGCGGATCAGCTGTCAGCCTGATCGTCGTTCATCAAAATAGAGAGTTGCACAAATGTTTTTATCCCGGTTCAATAGTTTATGTGACCCCATCTTTTTCTGACTTGCTCATCGGTGAGGTTGATATATTATTAGGTTCTCTGGGACCTTTCTAGTGATTAGATCCAGACCTAAACAGCTATCAGTTCATTTTGAGCGTGAAACCTACAACGTCTTCAGAAACCATTCGACTGCTGAGCTATCTGGGAGACATTACAAACTAACGCCTTGTAATTACTGTGAAATTGGGCAAGGTGAAAAGCCTTGTTTAATCAATCCTTGTTCGCTGATTTTGCTTTTCGACTTAATGAACCACCCAGTGGTTATAGACAGTGTAGGCACCCTCGATCCGTAATAGACGTAATTTTGGAAAATCGCCCGACGTTCACAAAAAAAGAAGTAAACAAGCGATCATCCTTTACTGAAAAGAGTACAGTGTTTTGGTGTGAAAGTGTCATGCTTTTGTATGGAGCAATGACAAAGATAAGTGATGCCGCTCGTGAAGAGAACAGCGAAGTGCTAACTGGGACAAGCACTGGAACAGACTGAAATAGTCTGTGGACTGTCTGTTTTCATTATTACATTGTGTGTGATCATTTTTGCTTCGGGATCAGACCGCACTCTTTTTTGACGCTTCTGAAAAGTGCTATAGACACTACTCACAAGGTTGCTGGAAACTCTCTGGCAGCCAACAACCGGTTTCACCTTTCTTGGGGCTCATCAGGTACATTCGATCCACAAGTTCCCGTCCATCTTATGTTATGTTTAAATCTAAGAGACCGTATCTACCTGATGAATCCAAAGAAGAGCGAAATCTTTCGCGAGCTGTCAAAGAGTTTCCAGTGAACTGGAACGTAATGTGTAACGTCAAGTCAATGCGTTTTGATACCCCGAATATCGTGCCAGCCGAAACATAAGACAGCCCTTGTGCAGCACATTCAGATGGAGAACATCACAAACGAATGATCCTACTGGGATTCAGGTGATTTTTTCGTGCAAACCACATGGAATGTAAAGGAGTGTATCTAGCAAACTTGTGGACAGTTGTTTTCTGTCTGCCTGCGGTGTGCAGAAAGCTAGACCAGAGTGCCTATCGGGAGTCTTCTGTGAGATTTGATTTGAGGCCTTTGGGTGTGATCGGCTTGTGTGTAGGTTTGTGTCACACTCTTCATAACGGGTTGCCTGATGCACGACATTCCATTGGCATCAGCAACGTACAAAATTGGTGCACGGGTATTCTCAATGATAAACTTATTGACGGGTCACAAACAATGAAAATAAGTTTTAAGTTCGGGTGGTTGCAAGCAAATTCACGGGACTTTGGGCGGAGACCGCGAACTATTGAGAATAAAAAGTAGAGTGGTGAGAACAAACTGTCCACTTTTATCGGAATCGAGTATCAGTGGTTAGCTGTTCAAGTTGTCACTCGAGATTCGAAACCATCGTTATCTTTAGGCACGCATACACGGTAGAACGGTACACGGCTATCGTTGTTACCCCGTTCAATGGATCAGGCCGGATACCAAAACCCTAATAATGAAGTAGCAGAGAAGACCTTTCGCCTCACCGATTGAAACAAGTCTTATTCATTCTCTTCCACTTGGTTTCACCCGTCAAAGGCTGGTGGAACTGTCAACTGTCGTTTCTTTTTCATTGAACTCTATCAACCTCACGTAAAACATTGGGACGGTAATGTGCGAATTTACTGGCCTGATAGCCATGTATCGGGAAAGTGTTGCATCTGAAGGAACCTTACTTACCTCCACACAATGATTTTCCGACCAATATATTGCCGAACAGTTCGTCAGTCAGACTATGTTGACCGGATGGGTACGAATGTACTTAATCCTTGTCCACTTTTCTTGTTGTTAGAGCGGTAGTAGCCGCCACCCTTTGTCATCCGCTTGCAAATTCACTTCATGTAAGTAGCGGATATTTCTAATAGTAAATGCCCTAGGTACCTCCAGCGGGCATCGGTGGAGTGAGTGCTGGCAAGTCAAATGTTCGGACTTAAAAGCTCCACAGGGATTTGATGTCGTCTGCCAACGAGCTGTTATAAGATCGGCACTTGAGTTCGGTGTCTCTGTCTTCGGTGTAGACCGACCAGACACCAGGACAGGAAAGGAATTGTCCTACGAAAGCAGAGTCCACAGAAACTGACACGTCTTACACCTAACGAAAATTATCAGTTTTATTCGTTTTCAACATTTTCCTCTCTAGACAACATTAGCAAGTTCTCTCTGTACCCATCTGAGGGAGCATCGGACCAGTTCAGCCTTAGTTAAGGCCAATCATTCGTCACACTGGGATTCGGGCCCCTGATATCTGAAGTGAAGGGGAGGAGCTGTGCCAAGAATACGATTGGCTCCACTTGATGCACCTGTGTTCACGTTCCATCACTAAGACTGGGGAGGGAATTGCAATTTTAGCCAGAAACAACTTTATATATACATATATATATGTTTATTGGGCAAACTTGTGGTTCACAGAACTCTTTGCCAGGTTATGGATTTCTTAAGGAAGCTATTTTCCACTTTTTAGTGTAACCAAGCACATTTTTGTGACAAACAACAAACTGTTGTTAGACCCAGATAGGATTAACTTCGGTGGTGCGATCAATTTATTGTTTTCAAGCACATTTGCCTACAGACATCTTAAACTAACCACCGTCAACGTGATTCCAAATTCAGATTCTTGTGTAGAAGGCATTCACAGCATGTGACACAAAAAAAATGAGAATGAACCGGACGCACGACTCATCAAGCCGAACGGCTCTGATGCACAAGAGAGCACAGCTCACTATGGTCATCTCCAAATGACTGATACCATGTCCATTAGTCGCGTTCACCTGAACAGTGATTCTGAGTCTATCAATTCAACCTGGAAGACAGTGCATCAACCCTTCTCATACTGACCATAACACTTTCAGCTCTCTGCTATTCTGTGGGTTTTTTTGGCCGATTTATTAAAGCGTCTTCAATCTTTACTGACTGAGGCTTCTGCTGACCAAAGCGTCTTTCTATCTTTCAGCAGTTCAGATGGTTTTGACGGAACCAAGTTGGTCCATACGTTCATCCTTATGTGATCATGTCAACCAGTGTCACTATTAACTTTGGAAGGCAAAATCTAGAGGGGATGCGAAGTTGATATGTCTCCCACAGTTCAGCTTCCCATAAGAAGAATGAAGTGGGGTCGAAAATTTTCCTAAAGCAAAATTCCTGCTTTTCACCTCAACTGAGTGCGTCTTGTGATGAGGTGGGCTGAATTAAGCTAATCAATTTGCTTTTCACGGGAGAATCGTCTG